AGAGGACATCAGTATGAGCAGTGGGAGTTTAATTCCATTTGGAGCTCAAAGTTGCCATCTGAGCAGTTTTGTCGCTCGGTTCGGCGACTTTTAAGACACGTTTAGCGAGTTTGTTTAACTTCAATCTTTCATTTTACAGAAGAAAAGCTTGTCTGTGCTGTTGCCTAATTTTCGGTCGTATTTACAAGACAGTTACTCATGTCTTCAGATATTAATGACTTACTTGTACAGAAGGCTGAACACACCTCATTTACTTGACTTTAGTTCATTTTAAACATGAAGTATTTTGTAAACGGGAAGTATTTTGTGTGCTTTTATCTGCAGAGATCAGTCAGTGCTGATGCTGGCAGGAGGCCGGGCTGCCATTGTGAAATATGATGTCTGTTATGAAAAACCTTCTGTAATTGTGCACTCTTATTTATTATTTAATGCCATTCAAATGGTTGTGACTTTGTCATATTGTGCTTCCCTCTGATATGAAAAATCAGCTTAGTAAGTGTAACGTATGTATAACTTAGCAACTGCAAGATACAGTCTGTGGACAAAGCTCTGCACTTTGATTAGCGTGCAGGAAACATGCCATTTACAAACATGCTTAATGATGAATAAAGCAGACAGTCGGACTTATGTAAAGCTCTGTTGTCTGGTTGGTGCATGATGTTGTTCCCCACTGCTCGTCAAGCGACTGAATCATGTTCATTCATTCATTTTATAATGTTGATTTATATCATGTCTTGTGAGTTTAAAGTGAACTTTGTGGTGCAGATTTGAATGGTCAAACTAATTAGTTGTGTTTTCTTGTGTAGTGGCAACAATTGACATAAAGCCCTGCCGGCAAAGGGAATATCTTTGATAACCGTTCTGTTGACAAAATATTTCCCTACAACTTTTTCTTTTTGAGTCTTTTAAGTAAACTTAAGGAAACTTGAAAAGTGTATCCAAGAACCAGGAATCAGACGGACTTCACTTGTTGGTTGGTTCATGGAAAATTCAAGTTTTATTTTTGAAACGAGTAGTAAAAAAAACAGGATGTATTGTTCTGCTGTACTTCACATCGCACTTCCTGCCATGTGACAGTGTTGACGCTGAAATCGCCCATAAAGTTGGAATGAAATATATTTTTTAACCTCTTCTCTTCTCATGAAACGATTGTGACGATGTGATTTATTCTTGATAGATAAAGTGTATATCTTCTCAAAACTTTATTGATATCTCAATATACATGCAATACAAGTCACAGTAAAAAAAATTAAACCAGAATTAACTCTTGCAAACTGTGGATTCAGACTTAAACTAAATTGGGGGTATTGAACAATAGGATTAAGGGTTTTGTTTCAATTATTCAGCCTTGGTCCCTTTAACAGAAAACACTTATTTGAGTGGATTTCATGCATAACAATGTCCATTGTTACTCTTTTAAATGCCCCTCAGTCACTATTATTGAGTCTGGCCACCCCTGACATGGATCAGTGCGTTAAGACATGGTGGCATTCTGTCCACAAGCTTGTTGATGGTGTCAATGGACCGGGTGTTCCACTCTTTAGTCAGATCCTGTAGTCAGAGTTGGTTTCACCTGGTAACCGGGACTCAGTATGTAATCACTGCACCTGGTTAGAAGTGATTGCTGATGTGTATAAATAGAAATAAAAAGAGAAATGTGTCTGAAAACAAAAATTATTCCAACTTTATGGGCAACAGTGTATAAATATATATGTAGCTCTCATTGTGACATTATATACTCCTGTAAAAAACTTCAGAAAGCTTGTCCAATGTCCAGTAGCCCCAAGTTTACTGAATTATTTATTATTAACATTGTGCAGTTATGTTTGTATTATTTATATGGGTGTGTGTGTGTGTGTGTGTGTGTGTGTGTGTGTGTGTGTGTGTGGTTAAACTGGTGGCGCACCACATATGGGGCTAGATAAAGGTAGCAATGGTAAAAAAACAAAAAAAAGATAAATTACTAATTTTAAATGACTTCCACAGACTGAGCAGTTGTCACACATGCATATTGACGAATGACTTGACCGATTATTTTTGGAGCTGTAGCTACTCCAGTTGAAAAGAGTCTGCAGCACCATTGGGGTCATTTAATAAAGACTCTTTCTATCACCAGGCTTCATAGTTTAATCCCTCGGGGCTCATACGTAATTTCTTCCTCTGTAATTTTCCAGACACCAGATACCTTTAAACCTGCTGCAGAATGTGACTTTTTGCATTTCTGAGCGATGGTGGTCTCTGGTGCTGTCAGCTCCTGGTTATGAAATGGATCGCCCTGGACCCTCGTGAGAGTGTGTTGTTTCCCCCGTGGCATCATCTGAGAGCAGTTTACCTGCCGGTGCCATTCCCGATTACGCTCCGCTGTATATTCCATTATATCCCAGCGCTGTTTGTCCTGCTCGAGCGGCGGCGGCGGCGAGCTTCGTCAGCCCCCGTGTCACAATCAGCACTTTCCTTCGGGGATGAGGCATTAGGACCACTGTACCACAGCTGCTTCGTTGATTACCACTGTTTCCTATTCACAGGACGCAGCAGCCTGCTAAACCCGCTGCCCTCCCTCGGCCGCCTCCCATTACCCTCCATCTTTGCCTCTCTCCTCGTGTTGCCTTAACTCCCCCGTGCTCTCCGGCTTCTCATTGCATCTAAACACTGCTCATTTCGCCTTCTTCCTCCATTTCCTCGAAATGCAGTTAAGTTCCCCAGACCAGCACACGCCGTGATGGAGCCCGTTAGGAACTATAAATCAAAGCGTTGCTCGGCCAAGTGTCTGAAGGAGAAGCCAGCGCGCTCGGTGCAAACAATCGGCGCATAAAAAGCCACCCCAGTAATTTGAGTTAAATACCTGCCTCAGACGGCGGATGCTGCAGTGCATTTAGAGCCTCTTGAATTAGTTTTTAAAGGTTCTTTTGCTTTGATATCTATTCTCCTCTAAAACAACCAATCTCCACTTAATTATAGCTGTGTCCCAGTTCCATAATAATAGTGTACAGTCCGTCCTACATCGCTCATATTGCGTCATTCTTGCAGATATAATACGAAAAAACATCGACTGCTTTGTATTGATAGATGCTGATGGACGTTAGATGAACTGTGAATCTTTTCCACATTTTTTTTTTACCAATTTCCCTCCACGTTCCTGTTTTGCGGCAACCTGCTGCCATCCTGTTGGGAAGATGTGACACAAATCACATGCTGCTGATTTGCATTGTTCAAATCATGATCATCAAACCTCAACATTTGGACACAGCCGTCAAATCAAGGAGGTGGACGATTTTCCATTTCGTGCTGTTTTGTTGGCTTCTTTTTTATCTGGAAGTATTTTCGTGTCCTTTTGCTTCCTGCTTTATCTCCCCTCCCAGTGTGAGTAAAGGCCACTAGCAGCGCAATTGCTCTTCTGCCGCTGAACTTATCTGTTACATACTTTTATCTAAACTTTTGCATTGACGCTGCCCACAAAGAGACGCTGCAGCGGCGGGCGAGGGCGAGGGAGGCTGATGAAAGGCGTTTTTTTGGTACAATCAGGGATCTTTGGCGCTGACAGAGCTCCGTCGCCTCGGAATTGAAGTTATTATCTCTCGGCACAAATCAAGATTGTGAAATTGATTCGGCGAGATCGTTGTGCTCAATGAGATGGGCCTCCTCTGCAATCCGCGGCACTCTGACAAGTAATAATTTGAGTTGGTGCTTCGAGCGGACTCTATGATAATAGGCAGTTCAGCAGAAGCATTTAGGAGTTTCTTGCAAGAACTGTGGGGAGAAGAAAGAGTGGTGGGAGAGGTAGCTTTATTTCTGGCTTTGTAAAGGAGAGATTAGTGGGATACTGTGTTTGTATATGCCTGCATAACACTTTCCTTATTGGTACGTATCTAATCTCTAAATTAGATGAAATTTCTGCACCACCTCAGAGACTCCACCTCTTCATTAAGGCAGCAGATGTGGCTCACGGACCTGGAAACTGTCTTTTTATGGAAATCAGCAGCGTTGAATGAAGGCAGAGAGTCCTGTTTGTGTTGCTGGTTCACGGCGACCGTGTGATTATTAAGAGCCTCACCTCCTATTCAGCCTGATTTCTGCAGGCCACCAGGCACGCGGGAATACATTGATCTGCAGAGGGACTGCACATACAGCAGGCTATCAGGAGGCAATGAGGCTCAGCCAGCAGCAATTTTCACTAGAAATGCTTTAGAAATTGTGAATCTGTGTTTGTGTGGGAGTTTAGGCTGTTTTTTTGGATGTTGGAGAAGCACTGCAAGAATCGGTTTCTTCGCTCTGTAGTCTTTAATTTTATCCCAAACATCTTTTTCAGGCTGCTTTTTATGTGTTGGTTCATACTTCAGTATTTTCTGCTCAAACCTCTCGCTGTGTTTGTGTAGATGTATAATACGAGGTGTGTCAGAAAGGTTCCAGGACTGGTGTCACAAAAGATATGTTTCAAACCCAAACTACAGACTTCGATCAACCAGCATGTCTACAAAGAGATCCTGCGGCGTTTGCTTTGTCCAGAGGAGAGGCGAGAGTTGTGGCAGGACGAGTCGTGGCTGCTTCACCATGACAACCAGCTCACAATGCCCTGAGTATCCCACAGTTCCTGGCTGAGAAGAACATCTCTGTGCTGGAGCAACCTCCCTACTCACCCCACCTGGCTCTGTGGGATTGTTTCCTCTTCCCCAAGCTCAAGGGGGTCATCAAGGGACCCGTTTAGAAGACGTGGACGACATCAAGATGGCTGTGACAACGGAGCTGTGGAGGATCCCGGAAGAATCCTTCCAGGAGTGCATGTTGGCGTGGCAGAGAAGGCTGGGAAATTACTTCAGGGGATTACTTCAACAGGGGAAACTTGTAATTTGTAGTTTGGATTTGAAATACACCAGTCGTGGAACTGTTCTGACACGCCTCGTATATGTGTCTACTTACACTCACGTATCTCCACAGAAACATTAACTTTTGAGTTGTTTTTTTAGAATCAGGCCTGAGCCAAAGTCTCTCTTTCCTCTCCTCAGGTGCTGAAGGGCAGTAAAAAGCTTTGCCTCCAGGTCCGTTCAGTCGGACGGATTCCCGGCGGCTACGTCACCAACCATGTTTATACCTGGGTCGACCCTCAGGGCCGGAGCGTGTCGCCTCCTCCGGACCTGCCCGAGCACCGGAGCGCCACCCTGAGACGAACCGAAAGCCAGCGACGCAGCAACATGCAGCTACTGCAGGAGGGAGATGAGAAGAAGGTACCGAGGTTACAAAACACTGGAACGTTTTACATCCATTATGTGATCTTCATAGTTTACATTCTCCGAAAAGTTACTATCAGCACTACTGGCACTGATAATTTCTTCAATTTTCTCAAAACTGTGAAAGCAATGGTGTAAAAAAAAGAAATCAAATATTTATTTATGGAGAATTTAAGCTGAGCTAAAGTAAGCAACTAAATCTAAAAGTGTTTGATCCATAAATCATAAACACTGAACCACATTTGGCCCCCCTCAAAAAAAAAAAAAAAATCACATCCAGCTTCCTCCACTGGCACCGACGAAAATGTTGCTTCTGAATCAGGCGTCACGCTGTGAGCCGACCTTAAGACAGAGACGGGAGTCTTGTGTTCGCAGCCAGGAGGGTTTGTTGGAGTGAAGACGAACACGATCCCTTTGCGGCTCTGCGTCTTTGGACTCTGATCTACGCTGTAACCCCTCCTGAGCAGCATGTTTGACTTTATATGAGCTTGGAGGGAACTTTTGCTTCAGCCAGACGTGGATGTGAACAGTGAACATTCACTGTTCTGTCAGCAGACTGAACAAACACATCAAACACTACATGATGTGTGCTTCTCCTAAACTGTACATTTGCACCTTTCAAAAATATCTGCAACCCCTCAAAGAGTTTGTACAGTCAGCAAACTGTTTGCTGTCTAGTTTCAACACATCCAACCAGGCAGAGCAAAAATATACAACAGTCAGACTCAGTAATGGACAAATATGATGAACACTGTAAAAGAAAATCTAAAACAATAACAGTAATTGAGGTTTTTGGTCTCCGAAAGAAAAAAAAAAATCCCACCCTGTCATCACCTCATGACCTGCAGGAAAGGAGCTGTCAGAGCCGTTTAAAAGATTTATTACACCAGAACTTTCAATTTTTCTGCAGCTGATAGCCACACATTAATCTTAACTGCGTCAGCTCCATTAATACAGGCTGTATCGGAGGATAACGTTTAGGAGATATTAATCCAGTCTCCGCTAGATGGTTTGTTTTAGCTGCTGTGCTTTAGATGTTTCGGGTCCGTTTCCAATATTTGACGATAGATGTGTGTCATTTGTAATTGAACCGTTTAAAGCTGCATGTGGCAGGTTTGAAACGGGGATTTATTGAATCAGTGAGACAGTCAGTCTCATTAGTTTATGTCCACTTGCTGCTGAAATCAGCTCCAACAGTACTTTAACTATACTTAGGGGATGAGTAATAAACTGCGCTCTGCATTAGCGGCACCAATTTATCGATATACGGAAACGACACCTCAGCGAAACCCTGAAACGTCCGGGAAAGTAATGGAATAGCAGATGACAGAACATGTCAGAGATTAAAAGTTGTCATTTTTTGTTAATTATGATGGAGAATTTATTTTGTCAGTGTCGATACAAGGCAGTGGAGGAAGAATCCATAAAAAAGCAGGAATGATTTAATGGTGTGTTCGTGCATCTTCACATCCAACCAGAAGTGGAGGAACTGTTCGTCAAGATCAGCTTTTTCTTTGTTCACATGCAACTTTGCCACTTATTAAAGGTCAAGTCCCGTCAGAGATAACTTCAGGCAGTCCTTTAGTGCACATTTTAATCACCTACTTTCCGTCTTTATGCGGGAATTCTCTTGATATTTTACAGTGTCTATAAAAAGTGTTAGAAAGTTTCCCCTTTTATTGCTTTTCAACATTGAATCATCAGTTTAATTTGACTTTCTTTGGCAAGAATTTTCCAAAAAAACGATTCTTGCGTCTCAAAGTGAAAACAGATTTTCATAAAATATTGTCAATTATTTAAAAAATAGAAAACATAAAATAAGAGATTGCAGAATAATTCGTACCCTTTAAAATGACGGCCCTAATTCAACCCAGGTGCAGCCATTTGGTGCCAGAAGTCACACTCGCTGTAATTCTGATGTTCTGAAGGCGGTGAACGTGTCTCAGATGACTGTAGTATAAAGACGCCTGTATCTGTGAGTCAGTGCTCCTGGATATAACTACACCACGAAGACAAAAGGATACTCAACTCCATGAGAAGGTTATTGGAAAGCATAAGTCAGGGGATGGCTGGACGAATGTTGTTAAAGTCACTGAATGTTCCTTGGAGTTAAATTCGTCATGAAGAAATGAAAGGATTGAGACTTACACGTAAATCAGGCGAGAGCAAGCCGTCCTTAAAAACTGAGTGACGAGGCAGGAAAAGACTAGTGAGGACGGCCACCAAGACACCAATGACTTCTCTGAAGGAGCTACAAGCTGTTCATGCAGGAACTGTTTCCTGTTCTTCACCAGTCAAAACGTTCTCAGGGAGCGGCAACAAGAAATTCTGGATTAGAGATTGTCACGAGGCATGTGGGAGATTCTGAAGTCAACTGGAAGAAGGTTCTTATGTCTGATGGGACCAAGATAGAACTTTCTGACCATCAGACTAGACGCAATGTTTGATGGACATTAAACGCATCATCGCAAACCCACCATCCCCACAGTGAAGCACGGTGGAGGCACCATCATTATGTGGGGATGTCTCTCGACAGCAGACCCTGGAAGGCTTGTGAAGGTAGAACAGTAAAATGAATGCAGCAAAGTACAGGGAAATCTTGGTGGACAACCTGATGCAGTCGAACTGCGACTTGGGAGAAGATCTGTTTTCCAGCAACACCATAACTTGAAGCACACAGTCAAAGCTGCACAGAAATGGTTCAAAGACAACAAGGTGAATGTTCTGGAGTGGCGGAGTCACAGCCCAGACCTCAATCCAACTGAGAATTTGACAGTTTTTGTAAAGAAGAATAGGGTAAAGTGCAGATGTGCAACACTGATTGAGATGTAAGTGCAACCAAACATCCATCCATCCATTATCTATACACCGCTTAATCCTCACTAGGGTCATGGGGGGGGGCTGGAGTCTATCCCAGCCGACTTAGGGTGAAGGCAGGGGACACCCTGGACAGGTCACCAGTCTATCACAGGGCTACACTTAGAGACAGACAACCAAGCACACTCACATTCACACCTACGGACAATTTAGAATCACCAATTAACCTCAATTAACATGTTTTTGGACTGTGTGGGAGGAAGCCAGAGAACCTGGAGAGAACCCACGCTGCACGGGGAGAACATGCAAACTCCACACAGAAAGATTCCGGTGCCCCCACCGGGACACGAACCGGCGACCTTCTTGCTGCGAGGCAACAGTGCTACCAACTGCGCCACCTTGCAGCCTGCAACCAAACATGCATTTACTAAATAAAGTACGTGCATACTAATGCGAGCACTTATCATATCTGTTATATTTTTATTTAGGTGGGATTATTTTGTAAAAATCTGTTTTCACTTTGTTTGTAAATTCTTGTCACAAAAGCAAAGTTCTATCGACCACGATTCAATGTTGAAAAGCAATAAAAGGAGAAAACTTCCAACGGGGTGAATATTTTATATAGGCATTGAAGCTGGTGTTTTGGTTGCCTTTTATTGCCTCGTCAAACTTCGACTGTCTTTTTAACAAGCAAGGGCATGATGTAATTATGTTACCACAATTGCAAACCTCTTGCTTCTGCAGTTCCCTCTCCATTAAGTACTAACTGTTTACGACGGTCTTATCGTGACATCAACAACCTCTTCATAGACGCGGTGCTAATTTATTTCACTATAACACGTGCGGTACGGTTCATGTGATCAAATGAGCTCGTCCGTCCCAGACAAAAGGCTCTATGAGTGCCGCCTCAGATCTCACGGCTTGTAAAAGAGAGACACTAGACCACTGGGAGTCCTATTAGGAAGAAAGAGCGTTCTGATTCCATGATAACAACTGATGCCAGAAAACACTCTGAGCCTTAAGAGCTGCGATGTGGCGCCAATAAAAGCAGGGTGAGTCTGGTAATTAAAAACTATTCTCTATGTCCTGCATAAATGTCACAGAGAACATGAATGCCTCGGCTCCCTCCCGAAGGTGAGCAGAGGTGGCTGGCTTACCTCCAGTCGGCAGACGATTCTTATTAAAAAAGACGGACGGCAGCACAATAAGCGCTGAAAGAAAGTGAGACTCGTGAGCCAGATGCCAAATCTGTGCCAGCGGGTATATGAGAGGGATGGAACTGTCATTGTTTCATAGAGATATTTGCATATGTGCCATCTCGTAGCCGCCAGGGTGCAACTGATCCCCCCCTTTTTTTAATCTTGGCAAGAGACAGCTGCATTAGGATCAAACCAAGCAATCAAGGGCCGTATTGTGATGGAGAAAAGGTGTAATTTAAAGTTTGGTACAGCTGAACTCCTACCTGCGCATAGTTTGGAATTTAATGTGGTCGCTTTGCTTTTTAAATGCACATCAATGTCTGTGAAGGTTCATCCAGGTCCTGGTTATTCGTGTGGATTAATCGTAGCAACTGGACTTGCTTGAGTTCCTTGAAGATATTCCACCTCTCATCCAAGAGGCTTCATCAGTTCTGACTGACTAGTTGGGAGTTCCAGATACTTATATCCTTAAGGAGCCATTAGCACCTGAGTTTCGGTTTCAATTGGATATAAGTATCTGGATCTCCCAATCAGTCAGTCAGAACCGATGAAGCCTCTTGGATGAGAGGTGAAACGTCTTCAAGGAACTCAAGCAAGTCCAGTTGCTACGATTGATCCATGAGAATTTTTAAATGCACCTATTTTAGAAAATGCTTCAGGTTGGATAGACATGACTGCCTTCATGCCATTAAGAAGCATTGTTTAGTGCCGCAATGTAAAGTGTTCGAAAGCAGGGAAATGTGGAAAGAAAAAGCACTGAGGCTGATGTGAGAGAAGGGGAACCATTATTTCTTCTTATTTTGACTAATAATGTGACCTTTCTTAGGTTTTATGTTGAACACCATAAGTGAACGCTTCAAAAGTCATCAGCAGTGATGTTTTAAGTCATGAAAACTCTGACATTAGAGGATTTGCTTCATTAAGAGAACTGAAGGCTCAAAGGCCAAAGCAAATAGCTGAGGAGTGAAGAGACACCCTTGACGAGTCGACCCGGAGGCACCGAACGGAGCGAGCAGATTACACCTCCCACAGTCTCCGCCTGCGGGTTACAATAAAGGCACTTTTATCAGACAAATGAAGCCTTCATCAAACCACATAGCTGCTAGCGCACACGGCACCGAGGTCCACCCAAGTGTTTCAAAGTCGCTCGTAGATCAAGGCAGCAGGCTGGTTAACAACTAGAGCTGCACTACTGCTGCTGCTGCTGCACATGGAGCAGTCGTCTTACTGTAGAATGTGGCTTTCATCATCACAGAAAGTAATGCAGTTTAGGATTATGTATAGTATACTGAAACACTTGCACCAATGTTTGTGTTAGATTTTAGTGACTAATGCAGTTGTTGTTCATCTTTTATTTCTTACTTTGGGACTGTATGTCAGGAAGTCGTGTACAGAGAAGACCCCAGAAGTCATAAACCCTTTTCAGACATTGGGTTTGTAACATCGCCGCTTCATAAATCTGTTAAAGGCATTCTGGTAATCTATAAATGTGAATATTCCCAGTGGTTTCATCTATACCTACCCACTACAGTGACACAGAGAGCACATAAAGTGATTTATAATGCATAATACTGCACTAATGTAAGAATAAATCTAAGCTAATAACAAGCTTATCAAACTGTCCAAATGACTAATAGCCTGTGATTTTTTTAAACACAGAAACTTCTCTCCATATAAGTAAATATAAATATCAATATTGGCAGCTGTGATAGAGTTCAGAACTCAACTGGTGCAACATATAAACTATGACTTTGTGTGACAGTTTACTTGTCTGAGGTGAAGAAAAGTGTGACCTGCTGTTGGATCCTGACTGATCCTGTCTCCATGTTGAGGATAATTTATAATCAGAAGCAATTAATGAAGTCATTTCTGTTGTTCCATCCATGTGCATGAATGCAAACAGCTCGCTCACTGTGGAAACATTCATAAGGATTTTGATGCTGTAGGTGTTTATTAAACTCAGAGGAAAGACTCCTAAACAGCTGGAAGCAACAAACTGAACTTAAGTTTATGTTAGCATTCTTGTCAAACCCTGGATTTTATTTATTTGTGGTGAGTCTTATCTGTCCAGATGCTGTTTTAATCACAATAAAGTTGTATTTTTCTGGACATTTCAGTTTGTAATAGATGTGAAAATGTGGACTTTGTTATGTGGAATTGCTAACTGCATCTTTTGCACCTTCTGTGATATTTTTGGACTAAAATTGGTGCTAAAATGTGGAAAAACATCCCTAAAACGCTTCACACAACTTGATGTATGTCATTTTTTGCATATCTATCCATTCATGCAATGATATGCATTTTGACTTCTGCCCTTTTGGAAAGGATGCAGAAATGCTTCCAGGTGTGAACTAGTAAGATTACTCTTTTTTGGAAACGTTCTCATTCAGACATGCAGCTGACACGTTCAGATGCTGTCAGAATAATGGAGGTCAGTGCAGGTCAGGTCCTGCTGCAGCTCCTCGTCAGAGCCATTCTTGATGAGATGTGTCAGTTCAGCTCCACCGCCATGTGAAAAGCATCATATTTTACATCTTCTTAGCGCAGAATGAAGAGTAATGGGAGTGACACTGATTGTTATTAATCTGAGGGTTTGCTTCTTCCCTCCCTCACCTAATAGATGGACGAGTGGGTCCTTGCTGAGGTGAGCAGCCTCAAATATATTCTAGTATTTTAAGAATTGGTGTGAAAAAGAAAGCGTTTGGGCTTTCGTGCCCTCCTCGGAAGCACATTTAACATTCGACCCACAGCTGTGTGTGTTCTGTAGGAGGGAAACCGTCTGGATGAACCCTGCTGGGCAGAAAGTGCTGCACCCTCTTTGTTTCTAGTTAAACTCTGCTGTGTTTCATCTTTTCCTTTAACTGGAGGTTGTTTTAGCTGCAGTTCACTGGGCTGGAGTGTCCCGGACTGAATAGTCTGTAAGCGGTGTCTCGAGGAAGTTGTTTTTGGGTGTTTGAGTTTCCATGTTTGTACGTCAACATTGCAAGTGAGCAAGTTTGTTTTTATAGCAGCTTATGATGCACAGAAGTGCTTTACAGGTAAAGGTAGAAAAAAATAAATGAAATATGTAAAAGGTTATAATACAAAATACATCAGAATAAAATCTAATTGATTAAATGAAATAAATCAGAAACACAGAAGTTTAATAGAATGGACACAAACTGCATTGAAGAATTATAATTGATTGATTATAAATAATCTAAAATGTGCAATAAAATGGATCAAAAGAATTTAAATTAAGTGAATAAAAGTTAGTTTTCGCCCTGTATATACATGTTTCTGCACTAGTTTTACACTTAGATTTATTTATTTTGTCTCTGTCTGTCTGTTTATCTATCTTCTATCTTGTTGTTGTTCTTGTTCTTCTTCTTCTTCTTCTTCTTCTTCTTCTTCCTCTTCTTCTTCTTGTGTGGATGGAACCGGTATAAAATACACTTCACTGCTCCTGTGTATAATTGTGTTTGTTTGTGACCCATAAAGCGCTGGGAAGTTTAATGACAGCACAGGTGATTTAAACTTGACTTTATTAAATAAAACTAGCAATTTTTAAAAAAGGTCTGTAGCTTACCTTAATAGAATATTAAACTTCTATGATGCAAACATTAAAATGTCCTTTTTTGATTCATTCACATCTTTATAGATAAAAAACAAAACATTTTGGGCTGTATAATGTATGTTAATGTGAAACTGGTTCATCTATATGCACACGAAATACAACTTCATTTAACATCACTGAAAACAGTAAATGAAGTGTCAGACCTGGATCAATCCTGTGAACTCTGTGGGCATCAGCAGCTCGCTGCATGTTTAATGCAGTGCTGCAGCAGAAGAGATGATTCCAGTTGGTGGTTTATTTGAATCCAAACTGTGTCAGAAATTGTTCGTGCTGCTTATCGGGGGAATCGACACGGACGAGCCTCGTGAACAAACTGATGGACCGATTCAAACGGTCCTTCCTCCGTTTAAAAACACATCCAGCCTCCCCACCACCGGCCCCGACTCACCAACATCCAAGCACAACTTCTCTCTTTCTGTTCTTTGTCTGCAAAACCCAACTCTGACTGTCATTTCCTCCATGCATTGAGTTTCACATCTCCATCTCCTCGGCTCCACGGATCTGGCAGCCTGTCAAGCAAAACAGTCGAGTCTCCGAAATGTCATTTAAAACATTGATATTTAAGATGTGTCTCCTTCGCGCCATCTCAGATATTTATCCTGCGCTTCAGCCCCGTTCATCTCCTTCTCTGTCTGTCTTAAATAGGTCAACTTGGTTTTGGATGACGGCCGGTCTCTGGGTCTGATGATCCGAGGCGGAGCAGAGTACGCTTTGGGTATTTACATCACTGGAGTGGACCAAGGATCAGCAGCTGAGTGCGGAGGACTCAAGGTAGAGCTTTTATTGTTATTTGTCACTCACTGTCTCTCACAAGTAGCCTGTGTGACATTTCAGACAACAATTTAGTCGCGCTCTGCTCTTTGTTGACGTGTTTGCTGGAGAATGCACAGGATAACAGTCCTATAGTCAGACACACAGTTTTGGTATTACTACACATATGCTATAGAAGAATTCTCACCACTTTGGGCGCCGTAACTTTTGCAAAATTGTCAAAAAAGCTTGTTTTTTTGCAGCACCACAGTAATTGTTAATCTCTTTAGACTAAAACATAATGCGCTGACCCCTGTAGACTAACACATATCAGCCTGCTAGGGTTTGCACAGTTCTCTCAACAGCTGTTTTACATTATTTCAGTTATTGCAAATCAAACTGAACACAGTCACGATCAAGAGTTTACAAACACTTGTAAAGACCATGTATGTCACAGCAGTTTCTAATGACTTCTATCATGCGCTTTGGGTCTTTCACAGATTTATTGCAGGTCTTCTGAAAGTATGATCCAATCTGCTGGGTCAAAAATATACATACAGCATAATGCGAATATTTGGTTGAGTTTTTCTTTGGCCATCTTTACCTCAACTAGGTCCTTTAGTAGCCGTCTACAAGCTTCTGGTTGGATCTTTGAACCTCCTCTTGGTGTAGTTTATCTAAATTTGTTGGCTTTCTGACCCAGATTTGTTTCTTCATCACGGTCCACATTCTTGATGAGTAGGGACTTTAGAGAGTCCAACCTTAACTCTAGCCTGATTTAACCATTTCTTTACCACTTTGGATGTGTGTTTGGGGTCATTGTCTTGTTGGAGAACAAAACTGCATCCGAGATCCAACCTTCTAGCTGAGGATTTTAGGTTTTTCTGAAGAATGTTGAGGTTATTGTCTGTCTTTATTATTACATTTTACTTTGTGTAAAGCTCCAGTTGCACTGTCACCACAACAGCCTCAGAGCATGATACTGCCACCACCGTGCTTGATGGTATGTTTGGTGTTATTGGGGTTAAAGGCGTTATTGGGATTAACGTCTCTCCTCTGAACATTTTGCTGGTCATTGTGGCTCATTTTTTGTTTCATCTGACCGTTGAGCTTTTCTCCAGAAGTTCTTTACTTAGAAATTCTTTTACTCAAGATTGCCATTATAAACATGGTCGTTACACGTCTGATTACTTTTATTCACGACTGTAGCTAAGATCAGAGACAAAAGTCCAGAACCAACCAAATTGTCCAAAAGGGGTCAAATAAAACCCAGACATGCTTTTATATGTGTTATTTGTAGTTTTGTGTCAATACGAAGGAGAAAAAAAACAAGTTTTTCTGCTTTTTGACTGAGCCAGCTGGAGGGGCGTTTCAGGGTTTGTGTTTGATTGACAGAGACTGGCAGGCTGCCGGATTTTACACTGAAGGCAACAAAAGAAAAAGTAGACAAGCTGCACCGTGACCTGCAGGTCAGTCGCACAAGCTGTGTTGTTAGTTGTATTTAAGATGAGGGAGCACAGCAGCATCCACCCAGACTGCAGCGGCATTCACAGGTGCTGTCACACGCTGTTTAATGTGTCGCAGCCGAGCAGCTCATTTACAGTCCTACAGGAAAAATGATGTTAATAGCGGCGATTGTTTTGTTTGAAGACTTGTTCAACGCTCTGAGGTGCAGGACAAGATGTTCGTTCATGTTATTAAGTTAGATAAGATGGAGAGCTTGGCAGGAAGCTCGTGTGGGTTGTGGTTCAGAGTTTGTGTTGTGTCGCCGGCTGGTGTCTGGCTCAGTGTGACCGTCTGCTCTGCCAGTAACAAAAAGCTGAATTTACTGCTCTGTGCAGCACTTCATTGACTTCATCCAAACAGTCTCCATCTACACAGACAGAAACTGGAATGACATCATGCCAAAGAAATACAACAACGGGGCAAACCTCCATGAAACCAGACAAATATATGATATGCATTTTGAAGTTAGATTTGTCTCAGATTAGAATTCTGAACATCCAACGTGCACCAGGAATAAACTGCAGAACAATCTGAAGCTTCACTCATTTTTGTCTTTGGGGCAAATTAGGTTTTTTAAATTTGATCTTATTTCGCTCCCAGCTGTTCTTGTTTTTTTTTATTTATTTGCTTTTAAAACTTCAAAAAATGCCTCCAACGTACATTTAAATTTTAATGGGAAAAAAGTGATTGTGAGATTAAAAGCTTCAGGAAATAGCAGCTGGACTCGGACTGTTTGGGTCCAGAAAAACCAGTGACTTCCTACTTAGCCTCTGACTGATTGTGAATGTGAGGTTAAACGTCTGTTTCTTTCACCAACTAATCCAAAAACACAAGCAACTACCCGCTGCAGCAAAAATGTAGTAACCTCCTCCAACAACCTGGAAAACGTCTGTAACAAACTTCAACAACTACCAAATATCTTTAAACTTTAAGCAACTAGTTCAAACCTCTTGATCATCTGTTATTAATCCCTTCACACACATTTGATACAACATTAGCAACCCTCTAATTTCTATGTAAAAACCTCAAATCAACCCCTAAATACCACCAAATATGATCACCCAACCATCATGTTAGCAGAAAGTCTTTCCTTTTTCATGCAGAGTTCAGAACCAGAACAGCTGGTAGGGATTTTTATCAGCTGATAGTTTCCCCGTTATCACCTCATTTTTTGGGTTTTTCTGGTGTGACCCAGTTTAACGCTCAGTGTTTTTGCTCACACTAAGCAACAGAGGACCACATTAAGACGTTGGAGGTATAGAACTGATGCAAAGGTCAGCGGCGTCTCACCTGAGAGGCTGAGTTTGAGTCCTGTCTGGAACCATTATGACATATTTTGACTTGCTTTTTGTTTTCCGCTCACTGCTTACTTAGTTAATGTTTGGTTTAAACTCACGCACCAAAACCACCTGGTTGGGTTCAGGTTGAGGTCTGATGTTCTGCTGCTTAATCACATGTTCTGAAGCTCCATTTTGAAGAGTTTAATGGAGATTTCACACGTGCACTTTACTCTCAGAGATCATTGATTACCGTGAGTTTAATAACAGCATCATACAGATGTCAGAATCAGAATCAGAATCAGCTTTAATGGCCAAGTACATACACATACAAGGAATTTGGTTCCAGCTGTTGGCGTCGCCCTAGGAATTTGCACGAATAACAGAAATAGGAAAAAAAAAATTAAAAATCAAGTAAAATAGAGTAAAATAACTACAGAAAGAAAAGAATAAAATACAGTAAATATTAATAAAAAATAAAACAAGATAATAAGACAAATATATACAAGAATTTACACATCCGAGTAGAAAAAGGTATATGGACATTTTAAGGATTTATTTAAGGATTTATATAACCTTTATATCTTTATCTTTATATAATCTTTTAAGGATTTATTTTCTCTCTTACATCAGCAAACACCTGTGTAGACATGCAACATAAAACAAAACCATTTTAAAATATACGTCTTTTTAAATTAAATTAAATTAAATTAAATTAAATTTTAAAATATACGTCTTTCCATTTTTCTCATCATTAAACAGGCCCAAACAAGAACCTCCTTTAAGCTAATAATCCACTGATAGGCGGGTCCAGATAAAGCATCCTATGAAACCATCCTGGGTTTTAATGCCTCTTCTGGCCCAGTACTACAAACAGAAGGGTCTCTACTGCCCATATGTGTTATACCAACAGATAATGTCCAATAAATAGGCTGATAATGCTCGACTCAGGTTTAGAAGTTCCATCAGAGGTGTTTGCTGCTGCTGCTGCTCTCACTGATTCGATCTCTACCTGATGGATCTGCACACTGAGAATCACATCCACGGTTTGCTCTGCCGACAATAGATTCATCTCAGGTGACATTTCCTTTTAACAGATATTCCCCTGAATCTGTAACACCGACGTGACAACAGACGGAGAGCTTTTTTTTTTTTTTCCTCCGACGCACCACTCTCTCTTTTCTGTATTCGACACTTTTTTTTTTTTTGCACTCAGACTGCTGCTGACTTTTTTCCTTCTCTGCCATATGGGCTGCAAAAAAATTAATTGCTCTAAAGTTTGAGCAAATTAGAAAGTCGCACACGCTGTTTGCTGGATATGTTGCACAGCGATAAACAAAAACACGGTTAATTTGGGTTCTGAAAAAGCAAACAATGTTGTGGAAAAAATAATTGTTGGGAAAAGTGAATGATTTTGAAACGTCAGTAATGAGCTGGTTGCTGTAGGGCATCTTAAATGATTGTTTTTAATGTAATAATTATGAATACAGGCCGTTTTCAGTTACATATCGGGGATTTTTTTTACAAAGTGGGTACAAAGAAGTCAAGCGTTGGTCCTCAGGGAGCTCAGCTTTGGTCGGTTTGCTTCCAGATTTGTGTTTGTGGCGGTGACATGGCAACAGAAGGAGAGAGAGGACGGACGTCTCCTCCCCAGAGCGCTTCATCTCATCCCTGCTAGTGATCAGCCGGTCAACCAGCCAATTACTCCGGCTCCCATTAGAGAGCCCACACAGGCATATCAGTTGTTTTTAGCAGCTTTTTTTTTTACTTAAAAGAGGGAAAACAAAGAGCAGAAGAAGATATGATGTGTGACTTTTTGTTAGAAGTCCTTAAACGCTGCTCCTGTGATGTCCACATTTGAAGAAAAGCGTTTCAAAAACTGTCAAACTGGATTCCCCTTCAGCTCAAATAGCTTTTTGCTTTTGCCCCAATTTAACCCACTTTTCTTTGTTTTCGCGGCTCCGTGTTTGGAGAAGAATTTCCTCATTTGGAAACGCTTGAATCAACACGAGGCACTTCTAACGCGAGCGCATTTACACTTGAATCCGGGCTTGTGTGCGAGGAAAACAAAGATCTAAATAAAGCCCGTGCTCCCTGCCTCGGCGCGATGTGCTGCACGTAGGCTTTTCCTGATTTAGAGTGACGCTCCAGCGGACACCTGGATTTACCTGCGGGGCCAAAATGCCAGGCGGCGTCTCGACAAATTGAAGGGGGGGGAGGTCAGGAAACAGTAAGAGACGGTGGAAAAGCACAGCAACGGGCCGACCTCCCGCAGCTTGG